AAGTACGGAAAGTGAGTACTTTTGCCATCTCTGCATTTAAACTTGATGAATATTGAACAAAATGCAGAGCAAATTATAGTCAGGCTGACTTAATTAGCTTTACTCTGTTCTCCTCAGGACGCCTGAGCTGCTTTGATGAGCTCCGACAGCTCAGTGTGGAAACCAGCTGATCTCAGGCTGTTCTCCACATCCAGTCTGTTCCTCTGCTTGGTTCGGATGCGTTTCACAGCTGAAGCTGAACTCAAACGACAGAAACTTACTTTTTCGTTGATAAAAGCTTGTTTATCTTTTCAGTTGGGTCCTCAGAAAGCAAAACAGCCCCATTTTATTTCACTACCTAAGAAATAAAATATTTTCATGTACTGTACCCCTTGCAATGCAATCATAGACCACTAGGGGTACGAGTACCCCCGGCTGGGAAACACTGCTTTAGAGTTTTAATACTAACGATTAATCGATTACTAAATTAGTTGAAAATCATTTCAATAATCGATTAATCATTATTATTCCGATTAACTGTTTTAGCCCTAATGGAAATATTCCATTTCAAGCCCAGACACTGAGCTGGGGAAAGGGGCACCATGATCATGAGAGTAAAAAGGATTTCTGCTGGAACATCTCGGGTCTATGAGTGGAACAGATCCTGGTTCTGGTCTTTCTTATATACAATAGTTGAATAAAGGGCGCAGTGGGGTTGTGTTCAACCCACCGATGGTTTGGTTGATGCCCTCATGTTTAGCCAGAGCCCTCAGTAGGCTGTAGTAGGAGACTTTGTCGCTCTGCTGCAGGACTTCCCTCATGCACGTCCCTGGGGGAAAGCTGCATGGAGACACAATGATGGATCGTTTAACAATGATCAGAAATGGAAGCGGGAGGCTGCAGTCGGAGCGGAGCAGGACTCCTCACCTGGACTTGAACCTGTCGCAGAGCGCCTCCACACACTCGCCCAGCGTGGACGAATCCACGCCGTCCTGTTCCTGCTGCTCCCCGTCGTTCTCCTCCGTGGCGGCTGAGGTCAGCTGCTCCACGGAGGACGATGTGGGGACGATGACGGTGTTGGGACTCTTCCCGGCTAACAGATCCAGGTAGATCACATGAACGCTGTCCAGGAACTCTGCAGGGCGACAGGAGGAACTTCTTTTATTTTGATGAATTCCTATTGGATTACTGATCGGTCTGTTCGTCTGCTGGAGCTCACACTAAGGGACCCGGGGGTTGAACTGGGAACACCTTTGAACCTTTCTGGACAGACCCTGGTATCAATTAGAACCTAAACCTCCAGCACAGAAGGACCTTCTTCCCACAAACGTCTCCCTTTAGCTGTTTAAACCATTAAATTCAAAAAAGGAAATATCTGTTTTTCTGCATCAGTTCCTAAACTAAACTAGAAAGTTGGGGAACCGTGACTGAATGAAACGCTCCAGCCACCTCCCCCTGATGATGGAGAAAGAGCAGCTCTACTCTGAGCTTCCGCCATCCCATCACGACCAACGCCACCCCAAATACCCATTCCTATCCTATCTGCACCAGCTGGATTTATATACACTCACCGGCCACTTTATTAGGTACAGCTGTCCAACTGCTCGTTAACACTTAATTTCTAAGCAGCCAATCACATGGCGGCAACTCAGTGCATTTAGGCATGTAGACATGG